CACCCAACCAGTTTAAAATGAGAGTAATTTTTTTATGAATCATTCTTTTCGAGAGAGTTGGCACAATTTCAGTAAAGACAAAAATTACGTTTTTTATTAATATTTCATATAGCACGATTTTAAGCAGGCATGGTAGTGCTTTGGTTTAGGCATTGGGCTCCTAGCCACAAGGTTCATAGTTCAAACCCATGGCCATTCCATGGGAGAAAAAGAAGACTGTCTGCTCCCACAAACATTCACAGTCTTGGCAACCCTATAGAAGGCTGCTATGATTGGGGATTAACTAGCTAACCATGGATGCTGTGTTAGTCTGGGTACTTTAGAGTAACAAATCCACAGAAACTCGTGTATAAGAGAGAGTTTTATGTAAAGGTTAAGTGTGCATCAAGAATATATCCCAACCCAGTGCTGCCCAAGCCCACAAGTCCAACATACCCATTAACCCATATGTCCAACACCAATCCACAAAGTCCTCCCCCATCCCACAAAACAGACACAACGATGCCGACTGCAGGAGGAAAGCATGAGCTTCTTACATTGCAGTGAGCGTGTAAGCATCTCAGTGCTGGCAGGGATCTCCACATGGGTGCTCCATGTGGCTTCTCATTGGGGATGTCTTGTAGGAAGTCAGCCTTGCAAGCTGAAGCAGGGAACTGCTAAGGCAGCTGCACCCTGGTGCAACCATCACAAAGCAAGAGACCTGAGAACTACAAAGGTGAAGCTCACTGAGCCATTTATCTCTCCACCCTTCAATTAACCCCACATGTGTTTGTCGGCCAGGTTGGCACAATAAACTAACTCAGGTGCCTTGGGTGCTCTATTTCTAAAATAAGGAATTCAAGCCCTTCACTACAAAGAACTGGAAAAAAATCCCTCAATTCCATGGGTCAATGCCAACTCATAGAGACAGAGTAGAACTGCCCCTGTGGATTTTTGAGACTGTAACTCTCTACGGGTGTAGAAAGCCCTGTCTTTCTCCTGAGAAGCCTCTCGTGGTTTTGAACTGATGAACTTGTGGATCACAGCCGAACACAAAACCACTATGACACCAGGGCACCTTCACTGCAGAGATGGCAATGTTTAATGAGAGTGGATGAGGGAGAAGGAAGAGCGACATGAGGATAGGAAGCTCCTTGAAGGCAGGAGCTGTGTGTGGACCATCATACTCTTCCCCAGCCCTTCAACTTGACGTGGTTATTACAATCATGTTTATTGTCGAGCGAGCCCTGACTCATAGCAACACCAGGCAACAGAACCCAGGCCTGCCCCCTCCTCACAATCACCGGTGTGCTCAGCTGCTGCTACAGCCCATGTGGATCGGGAGTATCTCCCAACCGAGGGGGCTGTACTTCCAGCACTGTGCCAGGCAACCCCCGTGGAGATCCATACAGTTTTCATTGGCTCGTGTTCAGAAGGAGATTGCTAGGTGTTTCTTCCTAGTCTGTTTTCGTCTGGAAGCTCTATTGAAATCTGCCCCCCAAGGGTGACCCTGCTGTCTGTTGTCATACCAATGGCATAGCTTCCAGCATCACAAGAACACAAAAGCCACTGCACCACAACACGCTGACAGCCCAAAGAAAGACCACTAATGGACAGAAGTATCATAAAAGTTAGAGGATTCTCTGCCTTCTTGATCCCCCCAAATAGAAGCAGGCTCCTTTGTCCCCTACCCGCTTTGTCCCCAACTAGGGCTGTTGAGATTGAGGCTCTGCCTAGGGTGGCAGGTGGGGGACTAGGTACTCTAGGATGTCCCACAAACACCCTTCCACTTGAATCTAGAGGCCAGGCTCTCCATGTCCCTGGGCCCATCTTCACTGCGTGTTCTGAGTTCTTGGGGACAGCACACAGGAGGGAGACAGAGATATACTTCTCCAGCTGTGGGAGATGGGCCCAGGAAGAAGGAACAAAAAGATGGAAGCACTAGACGCTCATTAGCAGAGCGATTTATTAAGAACCAATGAGCACCCTCTGCTCCCAGGCAGCCATTATTCTAAAAGCACTTCTCCTCAGTGCCTAACTCCATCACGCTTAAATGCCCATTATTTCATGCCTGTCCCAAACATGAAGTCCTGAGAGGCAGGCAGTTGCAGATCTGAGAGAAGTAGGCCAGTCTCATTGACAGGAGGAGGGCATTTGTCTTTAGCAAATGAAGGTCATTGTTAATAATGCATGGGCCAGTGGGGACCCGTGCCCAGGAGCTCATTTTTTTCTAAAGGGACATGGTCTGTCCCCCTGCAGGGGTGGCTTGAATACACCTTGGCCACTTAAAGGTAATAAATACACCTTGAAAGTTTTCATAGAACAAACCCACAAAATCAACACCCAAACCTGCAGCCATCAAGTGGATCGGAGCTCACAGTAACCTGAGTATGTTGTGAGTGTTAAGTCCCCAATACCAGTGCAGGTACCGAGAGTCAAGTAGCCCCTGGACACGAGACTCCAAGTGTGTACTTTCTTTGGGTTTTAACTTTAACCTTGACTTTCTGAGATCATTGTGGATTCACATGCTTTTGCACAAAATAGGACAGAGCGATGTTAGGATGCTGTGCACCCTTGACCTGGTTCCCACGGATGCTAACATGGTGGAGAACACTCTACTGCAAAATCTCCCTGGGGACCTTCTGGAAGGTCTAAGAGAACCGTGGTGATCTCTCTGATGCAGGAGGGAGAAACTCTGGGGAAGGGGGTACAGCTGCCCCTTGGAGAGAATGCCCATGGGAACCCGGAGGTGACCACCAAGGCTCCCTGGTTATAATCGACAGCAGCTGGTATGAATCCCAAGGGCCCGTCTCAGAACCCTGGCTGAATAAGGAAGGATACCACTGAGCTCTGGGGACACAGCGCCACCCCTTCCCTGATGCTCAGGGCTTCTGGTGGCTGTGTCCCTCCACCCTCCTGCTACTTCTGCGCAGGAGAAGGTATGTGGCATAGCAGCCAGGCTCTGGAATCATGAAGGCCTGGGTTCAGGCCCAGGGTCCTCCACTTACTGTATAGATGGCCTCAGCCAAAGGTCTCTTGCCACCTCTGTTTTGCCTAACAGCTGATCTAGCACTAGCTGTGTGTCACTCGCTCTTCTAGGAATGTGCAATGATAGTGCATTTAATCCCAATGGGCCCATGTGGGAGATGCTAGGATTAGTTCGGGCACCGAAGGTAATGGTCCAAAGTCCAATAACCTACAAGGTAATGTGTCTTTAAAGTTTTCATGATAAAGTTTTCCAAGTTATCATGAAAAGGAAAACAAACAAAGTAAACCCCAAGCCCAGTGTCATCAAGTTGCCCCTAACTCCTGGTCACCTGGGGAGACTCACCCACGCTCTGGTTTGTTTTGTTTACTGTCATCTTTACACAGTTTGCCAAGCCCTTCTTTGGAAGTGTTGCTGGGGGAATTTTATCCCCCAAACCCATCGCTTCGCCCAAGGCCCTTCAAAACTCCACATACTTCAAAATCCCACTCTGCTATGTTGCCTCGCCTAAGGAGCTCAGTGATGCCTCACTGGTTTTTCTGTTTGTTTGTTCTTGGCACAGCAAACTGAGGGAACAATGCCTGAAATCAGACCAATGGCCTTAAGTGTGATTGCAGCTCCAGGTGAGCCCCTGCCTGGCACAGTAGGGTTTCCAATGGCTGGGGCTTTGGGGGAATGCACCACCAGGCCTTCTTTCCAGCTCTGGGTAGACTTGAATTGCCAACCTTCTAGTTAGTGGACTAGCACTTAGCTGCTCCTATCCCACAGGGACTCTTTCATGTAATAAGTAAGCACCAATGCTCTGTAGTTCATATTATTGCTGTTTGACTTGTGGATGTTCCTGAGACTCATTATGTACTGATAGCAGCAGTAGGTCCCACCTAAACCACCTACTAGGTGGCAGGCTCTCTCTTCCTCAGCTTTCTTCCAAAGGAGAAGTGTCTCTTTTATTGATGAATAGTAATAATAATAATAATTTTGAAGACTCAGAGATGAAATCTTGGGGAGAAAGAGGTGAGGCTGGAATCGAGGGGCTCAGTTCAGGGGGAGACATCATCAGTCTCACGTCCCACCCAGCTCAGGACTCCCACCCCCATCACAATGTATCTATGCCTGGGACTCATCCTGCAGCATGCATCAGAATCGCCTATCGGGTTTGTGAAAACTAGATTGCTGAGCTTCCTCTCCCTCCATACATACAAAGAGAGAGAATTCCTAATGAGGCACATCTGGACGGGATAGTTACGTGTCGGCGTGCTGACTGCAAGGTCCGCAGTCAGCAGATTAAAACTACCAGCCACTTCTCGGGAGAGACAGGACTTTTGACCCTCATAAGGAGCTACTGTCCTGGAAACTCGCAGGGGCAGTTCTGCCCTGTCCTACAGGCCGGGTCGCTGTGAGTTGGCTCAGTGGCTGTGAGTCTGGCTTTTCTGTTTCGGAACACGGCCTGAGAAGGTGCGCTTCTCACGAGTGTCCAGGGGCGCTCGTGCTCCTGGCCCAGGTGTCACATGCTGAGGGCCACTATTTTCAAAGCGTGTCTTGGAATGGTTGCAGTTGCTTCCCTCAACGTCTCCCTTTTCAAATCTGAGAGCGACCTTCCCCAGCAGGCTCAGTGCCCCTTTTCTGAAGGGGCCCTGGGGGTGCTCAGCTGCTAGCTGAGAGGTCAGTGGTTCAAAGCCACCAGCTGTTCTCCAGGAGAATAAACCCAGAACTCTACTTCTGTCAAGACAATGGGCCTTGGCGATCCGACGGGCCAGTGCTGCCCTGTCCTTTTGTGGGGAGGTGGGGGGCATGCACCAGAATAGACCTGACAGCCCACAGCAAACATCCCAACTTCTTACAAATGAGTACCCGCTGTGATTTTCCTCATGAGAAGTACAAATCAATAGATAGTAGAAGCAAATGCCATCCTCCTGTTGAAAATTTAGAAAAATACCTCAAATGGGAAGAAAAAAAGGTGGGGGGGCGGATAAGGGAAAAAATTTACATCCACCACCCTCCCATCATCTGCAATCATCACTCTTGGGACTGAAGCTGTGGCACGTGTTTTCTTACAATGCGTTGTGATCCGTTTGGGTTTATTAATATTGATATGAACCAGGAGAGTTTCAATGCCTTGTGGATGCGCATCATCATCAGGGCGCTCTGTGAGTGGAGGCTGTTTTGGGGGTTCATATGATGGGGTTAGAAGGAGGAACTCGGGTTTGCCAGGGATGGCTTCCTGGTTGGGGTGTCAGAGTTCCCAACCATGAGCAGGAGTAGGCACACCCAGGTGAAGATCATGGTGGTCCGGGGGGTTGGGAGTGGCGCACAGAGGTGCAGGGGAGAGAAACAGGGCTGGGTGGGCGGAGTGGAGACAGGAAACGGAGGGGCGCACGGGTCAGTCTTATGTCTTCCCAGGCACGTGCATGCTTGGGCAGGAAATGAGGTCACCAGGACACGTTCCCGAGGCGGACCATGCAGTGGCACACCGGATGAGCTGGAGCGCGGAAGGGGGATGGCGGGAGGTGGGCAGGGGTTAGCACTCTCTGTGAGGGGTGTGGTCTTGGGGGCCCAGTCCTGGTGTCGCGTCTCGGGGTCTACCTCTGGGCCGCCAGGATGGAGAGGGACTGGTTCATCTTCACCATGGCGATCACGAGGAGGCCGCCGGTCAGCAGGAAGGTGGGCCAAAAGAGGGAGAAGAGCAGGGTGTGGGGCCCGTGGAGGCGCCGGTACAGCACGCTGGGCTCCTCCTCACGGGAGGCCGAGAAGCAGGAGAAAGTCCGATGGGCGTGGAAATTGGCCCTGACCTTCTCCACGTCGGCCCGGGCTGCCGGGTAGTCATCCAGGCTGCCTGGGATGTAGGAGCACTGCGGAAAAGAAGCAAAAGCACCCATGGGCTGGGGGATGGCTTTTCATGGGACCCTAGGGTGAGGGACTGGGACGGAGTAAAGGGACATGTGGATTAGGAGGCACGCCCTCTGGGTGGGGACGTGGGCGGCAGTATGTGGTATGGTGGGCACTGCAAAGTCCCAGGGGCGCTCGAATGAGGGACCCCCCACTACCAGTTTCCAGCTCACACACTGAACTGCCTGTTGGGCCCATGGAGCTATGCTGTCTGCAGGCAATGCAGATCATGTAAAGGGAGGATGTGAAGGGCTAGTGTACTAGATTCTGACTGACTCTGGCTTTGCAGGAAGTGACGGGCCGAGCAAACTGGAGGGCCCCTGACTCCTCCGAACCAGCAGACCCCACTTCATCCAGACCACCGACACCATGCCACCAGCGAGACCTCCTGTAGCCAGAGCACTGGCATTTCAAAAGACGCCAGAAATCTAGGATTAGCGGGGATTCTCACAGTTTAAAAACACTGGTACCATGTCCTGTTGAAACCCCTCTGAGGTCTGGCCCTGTGGAATCCAAACAAGATGTGTTGGTATTTGACACTGGTGTGGAAGGGAAAGAGGGGGCTTGGAGGAGCTCTGGGCAGGCAGCGGGGGACAGACACACATTCACGTCTGTCACGAGCATTATTCGTAGGACCCAGCAGGTCTGTTCAGGTGAGGCCCAGATGGAAAGCTCACAGATAGAGCACACGCTGGAAGCCTGAATACCGGACAGGTGAGCTTCTGGGTGATGTTTTACAAGTGTGGCCCCTCACAGATACACTGTGGGCTGGAGTGTGGTTCCCTCCCCCAAGCCTGTCCTAAGAGCGGGCCATCCTATAGGACAGAGGAGACTGCATCTCAGTTCTGATCCTGGGACACGGTAGGGAAGGATGCGGTCCCCAGCCGTGGATCCTTCTCCAACCAGGGAGCAACTGATGCTGGGAGAAGCTGGGTCCTGAGGAATCTTGTGTTCAGAGCTATGGAGTGTTGCAGCTGGGTCCTCAGAACTGGGGCCCAGAGGCCTGACCTGAGCCCAGGGCACCCCTCAATCTCCCCAGGCCCTCCCTCAGACTGTGGCCTTGGAGCACCTCCTGGGTGAGCAAAGGCATGGCTGTGGAGACCTGGAGTCAGCCACCAGCTTCAAGTTGTGTTCATTCTAATTGCCAGGGACAGTGGAGAAGGGAGACGACAGCCTAATGGTACTATTGAAATCAACCCGAAGCTTACCGCCATCGCATGAATGCTGACTCATAGTGACCCCAGAGGGCAAGGTACAAATGCCCCTGTGGGTTTCCAAGACTGTAACTCTTTACAGCAGTAAGAAGGCTTGTCTTTTCCTGTGGAGTCGCCGGTGGTTTTGAACTGCTGATCTTGTAGCTAGCAGACCAATCAAGACATAACCACTGTGATGGGAGTTAAAAGAGAGGCTGCTGCAAAGTTCTTAGCTCAGAGATCAGGGTGGGTGAGTGCTCAACAAAGAGGAAGATGCTATTGTTCTTAATAATATCGGTGTCAACTGTCTCCTTAGTTAGGGGTTCCCTGTGGACCAGATGAGACGAGATGGGTGCATGCCCAGCCAGGCCTCACCATAGCCCTCGCCTGCTGTAGTTACTCTGACTCCTTTACACTGGGCAGGAATCAACTCTGCAGCCAGGGCTGCTCTGGGGCTTATTTGCCTCCTCTTCCCTCTGCCTGGGACCAGCTGACCCCGAGCGACTGTGCAACATCATTGTCCTGACCTCTGACCACAGGAAGGACATAGGACTACCCCAGGATGAGTACGTCTTCCATCCGACCATGAGGGCAGATAGACTGCCCATCCTCAGAGGAGACGTGGGGAAATAGCCTTGCCTGACCTTCCTGCCTGACTGTGGTGCCAGCAGACACCCAGCTGCTCTCGCTCACCATCTCCCTGCAGCCACAAGCAGGGCGTAGATAGCCACCCAGAGGTGCCTATCTTTGGAAAAGAGCACCCATGGCAAGGACTGAAAAGGCTGCTCTGCCCCAAGACTGGGCACCCATCTTTTTGATCGCTCCCCAATACAAGTCAACCTTCTTCATATTTTACCTGAGACAACTGCACCTTCCTTGCTTTCATTAATGACAGATGTTCTGTGATGGGATCAGTGTGTGTGTGTGTGTGTGTGTGTGTGTGTGTGTGTGTGTGATCAAAAGAGGCATTGCATTGGACAAATCTGTTGTCCAAAACCACGTTCAGCATCTTGAAAC